TTTGTCATAATAGTAGTAATAATGATTTAATTATTACACTAGCAAAGCCTTAAAAAAACAATGATTAATATTTCCACTCCCTGAAATAAAGCAAAACAAGTAGGACAAGCAATAAAGATTTCATTAAGCTTTATTACACTGTCAAATGATTTAATAACAGACTCATTAACAATTTCTTTTACATCAACTAAAGTGGAACAAGTAGCACCAGTTATGAATATGTCATTAAGTGTTATTACAGTGTCATTAATATTATCTCTTACCTCAAGTAAAGTGAAACAAGTAACAACAGTTATGAAGAAGTTATTAAGTGTCATTATAATGTCATTAATATTAACTATTACCTCAAGTAAAGTGAAAAAAGTAACAGTTATGACAAAGTCAATATTAACTTTTACCTCAAGTAAATTGAAACTAGTAGCAACAATAATGAAGATGTAATTTAGTATTACAGTGTCAAATGCAATGCTAACAGAGTTATTGATATTCTTACCTCAAATGAAGTGAAACACACTGGACTACTTATAACAACCGCCATAAATGTAGAACAAACCCTTTGTACATTGGAATAAAACAAAGATAACTTGTTCTAAAATAACAGGGGGTTTAACGTCTGGTCAGTATATTGTTACTCTGAAATGCTGATTGAAAAACCAAAATTACTTATTCTTTAACTTAAGAAAATAGGTTCTTTCAACAGTAACATTTTTTGCTTCAGCCATCTCCTTCGTAATAGTCTTCCTGTAATGCTCTGAAAACAGGAGATCTTCTTCTTGTCTTCATTTCCTGGAAGCAGCTCTTTGAAGGTGTCCAGAAATGCTCAGAAATTACAGCTGTTCTTGCAATAGTTAATCATGGATAAAACCTTTTCATGAATTCAAACTTGGTGAATCTCTTCTGGACATTTTCATAGTCGGTGATGACTCAGTTCATTGTGGTCACTTAAAAAAAGAACAAAAACAAAAAACAATATCATATTCCAGCATTTATTTAAATACCATTTCAAAAATGTCCCTTGCTGCACACTGTCAGACTGGCAGACAAATGCCTAGTTAACATGACTGGTTGTTATAAAGTGCAATACAATTATTTCTTAATACAGGGGGAATAATAACTGGAGCTGAACAAAATTATTCTGATCAAAATATTTGTCTGGCACAAGTTCAGACAGACTGTCACTGTTATTCGAATGCATCATTTAACATATAGTTTTAGGCACATGAATGCATCTTTTTACTTAATGAGCATTCTAAATTATTTCTAACTAGATACTCGAACTTATGGTTGTTTGCAAGAAGCTTATTAATAAATAAATAGATTTAACATCAGTTTTAGTTGTCTAAAACATAGCTTAACTCAGCTGGTGAATGTTGATTCCTGCTCCCCATTCCCCACTTACCTGGCTGTCCCACCCCACTTCACATGGTAAAAATATTAACAAAAAAACGACTTACCTAATTTTCTTGGGGAATATTGCATCTGCTTCTTTCTCTTTGGTCAAACAGGAACTTGTTTCTCTGGTGGCTGGTCCTTATTATCATCCTCCACACTCGTAGCATGTCTTCATTAGCCAACTTCGTCCCCCCACCACCACCAGCATGTGTCCTTTGGCTAACATGGGTCTTCATGTGGCTAAAGTTTCCAAAGCAAAGAACACAAGCACTGTGTCACATCAGCCAAGTTGCTAAATAATGCACATAAAGGATAACTTTGACTAACATATTAGCTTTTAATTTGCTAGATTAAAATTGGAGGGAAAAAACTAATTTGACTGTCTTTAAAATACGTTTAATATTAAAGGCTAACGTTACAGTAATGAAGTTTAATAACTTTAGCTAAAATTAACTTACAGCAAGGTAGGATTGGCTTGAATTGCTTATAGCTAACATTACAGAGAAAAAGAACATGTAAAGTTAATAAGACACATACCTCATATGTATTAGGTATCAAACTTCGTCTTTTGAAACAGGAGGTCTGGCCGTTATAACTTGTGTTAGGTTTGCGCCACAATATGGAAGATTTCTTCTTCACCAACACACTGCACGCCTGTTCGTGCACTGCTGCCTCTCACTGGTGGAGATGGTGTATTGCACTACTTAGCCCTTGTGTTTAGAAATGGGGTCCATACCAACCGACCCCACACACGTAAAACTTTTATCATTTGCCACAGTTCTACGTTTGCCTCAGTCCTCGCACGCACAAGGGTTAAAACAGCCTTGAATAATGTTTCAAATGCTAAGTTCATACGTGCTTTGTAGACATCTTGCTGTAAAACTTTAGGATCAGTTAAATTAAGAAATTAAAGAGTAAACAACATGGCAGAGCTTTATAATATTACTACATAAAGCTAATTTTTAAAGTTTAATCGGTAATACTTTTATAACAAATTTATGTCAGATCATGATTTCTTCGTTATTGACNTCCAGAAATGCTCAGAAATTACAGCTGTTCTTGCAATAGTTAATCATGGCGAAAGCCTTTTCATGAATTCAAACTTGGTGAATCTCTTCTGGACATTCTCATAGTCGGTGATGACTCAATTCATTGTGGTCACTTAAAAAAGAAGAAAAACAAACAACAATGTCATCATATTCCAGCATTTATTTAAATACCATCCCAAAAATGCCCCTTGCTGCACATTGTCAGAATGGTAGACTGGCAGACAAATGCCTAGTTAACATGGTTGTTATAAAGTGCAATACAATTATTTCTTAATACAAGTGGAATAATAACTAAAGCTGAACAAAATTATTCTGATCAAATATTTGTCTGGCAGAAGTTCAGACAGACTGCCACTGTTGTTATTCAGAATGCATCATTTAACATATAGTTTTAGGCACATGAGTGTATCTTTTTACTTAATTATCTAAATTATTTCTAATCAGATTCTCTGACTTATGGTTGTTTGCAAGAAGTTTATTAATAAATAAATAGATTTAACATCAGCTTTAGTTGTCTAAAACGTAACTTAACTCAGCTGGTGAATGTTGATTCCTGCTTCCCCACTTACCTGGCTGTCCCACCCCACTTCACACTTCACATGGTGAAAATATTAACACAAAAACGACTTACCTAATTTTCTTGGGGAATATTTCATCTGCTTCTTTCTCTTTGGTCAAATAGGAACTTCTTTCTCTGGTGGCTGGTCCTTATTATCATCCTCCACACTCGTAGCATGTCTTCATTAGCCAACTTTGTCCTCCCCACCATGTGTCCTTAGGCTAGCCTGGGTCTTCATGTGGCTAAAGTTGCCAAAGGAAAGAACACAAGCACTGTGTCACATCAGCCAAGTAGCTAAATAATGCACATGAAGGATAACTTTGACTAACTTAGCTTTTAATTTGCTAGATTAAAATTGGAGGAGGAAAACAATTTGCCTGTCTTTAAAATATATTTAATATTAAGGGCTAACGTTACAGTAATTGTGTTTAATAACTTTAGCTAACTTGTGTTAGGTTTGCGCCACAATATGGAAGATTTCTTCTTCACCAACACACTGCTCGCCTGTTCGTGCTCTGCTGCCTCTCACTGGTGGAGATGGTGTATTGCACTACTTAGCCCTTTGTTTAGAAATGGTTTCCATACCAACCGACCCCACACACGTAAAACTTTTATCATTTGCCACAGTTCTCTACGTTTGCCTCAGTCCTCGCACGCATAAGGGTTAAAACAGCCTTAAATAATGTTTCAAATGCTAAGTTCATAAGTGCTTTGTAGACATCTTGCTGTAAAACTTTAGGATCAGTTAAATTAAGAAATTAAAGAGTAAACAACATGGCAGAGCTTTATAATATTACTACATAAAGCTATTTTTTAAAATTTAATCAGTAATACTTTTATAACAAATTTATGTCAGATCATGATTTCTTCAAGTTGTCATAACAGACAATTCTGTCTAGGTTAATGTCAAGTTGTCATAACAAAGATATTTTGAATAATGTCAACTCTGTATTAAAGGTGTCATGATTTACCGAATGACACTTTACGACAACAGTCATAAATATTCATGAAGACTTATTAATGTTCATGACAGGTGTTATGTCAGTCTTATTCACACCCCTTTAAATAAAGTGTTACCGGTGGATTTTGCCTCAGTGAACTTTGCCCTTTACGCCTAATTATTAACAGAGGAGCAGATATTTTGTGGTTCATTTCTGTGAGGAATCTGTTCAGAAATGATCTCTGATGTTCGACTCTGTGGCGAGTTTATGGCAGACAGGACTTCCTGTTTTCCCCGTTAAAAGACGAAACCTGACAGCGAGGAAACCTGCTGGAATGTTACCGACCTCATCCTGCCACTCATTGACCAGCACACTCTCTCTCTCTGTGAACCCACCTCGCTCGTCCGCTCCCACAATCCATCTCAAAACGCCTGAACAATCCCAGCATGCACCTCTGCCTCGCCGCATGCTTCCTCATCAGTCCATCCAGAGGGAATGGAGGAGCAGAACCAGCCAGACCCTGGGCTCGGTGGATCTGCCGAGACGCTGGCATGTGGAGGCTGAGGCAGTAACCCAGGGGGCGGGGCCATGAGGTGAGTGGGCGGGGCTTAGCTAGTTAGATAGCTAACTAGCTAACTCCTTGAATGAATAGTTTATTTAATGATATATTTTTATAATTGCTGATAAGAGCATTTCTCGTTTTACTTGATTATTGTATTAGTTTTGCGTAAACTGAGTGTATTTTTGACCGCTGGTTGTTTCTACCTGCCTGGCTGTGAGCAGATTTATGGTTGCATGTGTAAACAGCGACGCTGGTGAAGGTTTTTTTCTGCTGATTTGTGCTGCTGAACCCGTTTTGTGGGCTTCCTGAGCGCTGCAGCTCAATGTGTAGCGGAAATTTGGTCAGACATAAACTCTGACGGCAACGCGGCGCGGAAGATCCCAGTAAACAAACCAGTTTAAATGTTTCATATTGTGGGACGAGCCGTCTGTGTTTACAAGCCAACAATCAGGGATTTAAATATTTAGAGCGACAGGATGTGCTTCTGCTTTAACAGGAAGTGACATCGGTGATTAAATCTGAGCAGTCTGTTGTCTTTTCAAAGTCCCTCTGAGACACTCATGACAGCTGCAGCTGCTAACATCTGCCTCTGTGTAAACAAGTGATGTAATCAGAATACTCACCCCTCCCAGTGCTCCCAGCAGAGGAGGAGGTGGAGGTGGTGGTGTTGGTGGTGGTGGAGGAGGAGGAGGAGTTGCAGGCAGAAGAGGTGGTGGTCGCGGGGGTGGAGGCGGTGGTGGAGGCCGTGACGAGCCCCTCCATGTCGGCTGCACTGTGGGAGTGTGACAGGCAGAGGGCGCTCATGGGCAGCAGCCCCTCCTGGGAGGAAACGGTTGGGGTCAGGAAGGAGCAGACTGTGTGCGACGTTCTGCCTCCAGTCAAGTCGGTCCTACCTGCTGAGGGTTCTGGTCTGTGGTTCTGGCCAAGCACCAGCCGGGCCGGTCCGCAGACCGCTCCACCAGCTCCACCGTCTGACCGCAGCGGACGCTCAGCTCCCCGGGGCCGCCGCTGGTGAAGTCCAACAGCACCACCACTAACTCGCAGCCTCCAGACAGCTGCACACACACACACACACACACACACACACACACACACACACACACACACACACAGCATCAAGGTTACTACAGGTAACCAAAACTAACCAAGTATGAAACTGAGAAAACATTTTAATTAACTGAAAATAAATTAAAACAATACTTAATGGGAGAAAACTAAAAGACCAAAACCAAACTATGACTATAGGTGATTCATAAAACTATGTCTGGAAAACGAGCCGTTTCAAAAACCTCCAGACTGTAACATCACAAATCAGCAGGCACTGCCCGTTACCTAGCAACACCAAACGCTGAGACTCGTTACCTAGCAGCACTAACAGAACCCAGCCCATTTCCTAGCAACCCTAGGACATTTAGTCAGCTTGTTTTTCTGCTGTACGCTCTGTACAGTGGCTGCTGGAATAGACTAGTGTTTTTTTTTTGTTTTTTTTTTTTAAATTGACTTGCCATCCAGAAACCTCTTCTGTGCAGGAGGCTCCACTAATGCTTATCAAAGATATATGCTTTTATTTATTTATTAAGATTTTCTTTTAGATTCTAAAATGTTTTTAACTGACAAAAAAAAATAATATTCATATAAATATATAATTAGTTTGAGATATTAATATACTTGTGTATTTTATAGTTTTATTGCATTTATTTTTAGAACTTGAACATTTTACATACCAAGATGTTTCTGTTTAGTTTTACATATTGATTTTTTTCCCCCTGTGTTGAAACACTGTGATGACGGATTGTAATTGAAAGCATCATGAGTGTTGACCTAATGTTGCTCTCAGCAGATTAAACACATGACTAATGACAGCCACATACATCATCCCACAGCCGCTCTGATTGGTCCAAACGGAGTCACATGACTGGAGCTATAGGTGGAGGTTGCTATGGTTACGGCTGGCTCTGAGTCGGAGCACGTGGGCTCCAGCCAGGGGAGGAACCAGTCTCGCTGCGGTCTGCAGGGAGTAGAGGGGAGTTCCCCGTTTAAATGCAACACAGCTGTGATCCCAAAACACGGAAAACAGGCGAGAAGATCGGAAAACCAGGAGAGGAAAAAATAAACAAACAGAAACCAGGAGAAAGTCTGAGGACAGAAAAACAAACACTTCACTGTCCTCGAGTTGGACCAGAAACTTTAAGAATCACAAAAACATTTTAAAGGCTGGAATCTTAAAGTTCATGTTTGGATTTAATTTTTAGACAGAAATGATTTAATTGTAGGATTTGTTTCACAAGGATATTTTCTTAAAATCAGGCTTAGCGCTCCTATATCTATATTTTTTAAACAGTTATAAATACAAAGATGTTTTGCACTGCAAAATATTTAGATTTCGTTCAATTCAGACATTCATCATAGGTTGTCACCTGCCTGAAAACTTTTATTTAAAACATCTTGAATTTTCTTTTCTTCAAACTTCTTATAAAACATGTTTTTATAAGAAGATATTTCAGTTCTTTTCTATAATTCTTCAGATTTTATTGATTATTTTAGTTTTATCTTTCAGTGCTGCTTCACGTTCAGGAGCTTTTAACCAAACGGAAACAAAAAGACGCCATAAATGTTTAAACTGACCCAGTTAGCGTTGCCGCGCCGCTCTCAGCCTGCCCTCCTGTCCGCCCGAGTTTTCACCCCTGACCCCGACCAGCGGACCACGGATGGCAGGGTCACCAGGTCAGAGGTCGCTGACCCTAACCCCACCCTCTTCTAGCCCTCGGTAGGTGAGAAAATCAAACGTACCTCGTCTGAGCGGCTGCAGAAGAAGAGCGCTGAGTGGAAAATCCCTCAGACACACACCAAGCTCACACTCCCTGCAGCTGTGATGAGGTCATCACTGGGCCGCTCACGCCCCTCTGTGGCGTCGCCCTGAGTGTTTACCTTGTCGCTGTCGGCCGTGTTCTGCGACGTCCGGGACGCGATGGAGACGGTGTCGGGCTGGCTGCTGGCGTCGCCCAGGCTGTCCGCGTCTTCGCTCGTTTCCCTGGAAACCACAGCGGCTTTAGTTTCCCTCACACCCAAACGTCCGTCTGGATTTCATTATTATTATTATTATTATATAGGAGGCAGTTAGTGACAAAACCGCTGCTGCTCTGGAAATACTGCAGCATTCTGGGAAATCAGCTCCAGTTTTATAACATCATTTAAACACATTCTGATTCTTATTTACTCAAAAACCTGCATGTTATCAAACCTTTTCAGTTTTTTTTTTAATAGAATTAATCAGTTGCTGAATTGATCAGAAATCAACGTTTGTGTGAAGCTGGTTGTGTTTCCCACCTGCGGGTGATGCTGCGCTGCCGGCCCAGGGTCGGGTTGGGCGTTTTGGGCAGGGGGATGGGCTCCCGCAGCGCCCCCCGCAGGTGGCCCCGCCTCTCCTGGATCACCTGTCGGATGCTGCGAACCCACTCCTGCTTCAGCTCCAAGGAAGACGCCTGAGGGTTTAAATAAACACTTTTATTAAATTACATTTTTTAAAGCAGCAGCAGGGTTTCTGGGTAACGTTTTGCTCAGAAGGTTTTAAGTTGAGGAAGTTGTGCGCGTACCTTCAGGACGGTCTTGTTGTCGGACGTCGGCGTTCGTCCGACCCACAGGGCGAACTTACATGGATCCCCCTCGATGTGCTCAGTGACGCCGAGCTCTGAGGTCTGACATGGAAACAAGCAGGTCAGTTAAACTCCTTTCCTCTGCGCGTTTAATGATCGCATGACCTCCATTACCCTCAGCCTGCTCTTGTACAGATACTTGGTGCGTCCAGAGGAATCCTTGATCTCCTTGCTGAAGATGAGCGACAGCTCGAACAGGAACAGGTGCCGGTCCCGGCCCTTCCGGATCAGAGACTTGGGCTCCCAGACCAGGAAGGTGTCCTGCAGGAGGAGCTCGCCCTGCACCTCCAGGCCCTCCTCCAGACCTGGAGCCGCATCACAGCCAGATCAGACAAACAGAAAAACGTCTCCAGCAGAGTCACGGCGAGGCTGAGGCTCTACCTTCCAGCATGCTGACATGCATGGCATCGTTGGCTCTCTTTGGGACACTCAGCATCACGTCCAGGCCTTCTTTAATCTCACCTTTGCCCTCCTCACAGCAGGCCAGCAACTCCTGCAGAACACACACAGGCAGCTGATGATCACACAGATTAGTAATTTGCACCGAGAGAAGCAGCAGAGACGTGTGGCAGCTTTCATTTGTTATTCCAGACACAAACTTTGACTCCTTTCAGTTTTAAATCTCCAGATTTGTTTTGCAGACGGAGGAGAAAACAATTTTTTTTTTACTGATTTAAATGTGTTTGTACCTTCAGCAGCAGCTGGTACTTGGTGATCCGCTGCACTGGTTTGATCAGAGCCGAGGAGATGGAGTTGGCCAGGCCGTGTCTCCTCTGGACCTCCTGCTCAAAACAAAATGTTAACATTCATCCACATCCATCCCTCCAGCACAGAATAGAACATTTGGACCGTTTCAGCTCTGTCATCTCATCTTTCCTCAGTCAGTTCTCACAAACTGAACATCATGTAAAAATCCCTGCTGCTGCAAAAATAAATGTAGTGATGTTTCAAACATTTAATAGTTTCAATCATTCTAGTTTTGAGTTATTCATTACTAGCTAACACCGCTCTTCAGTCATATGAAGTTTTGCGGTTTTGTGGGAAAATGACCTCGAAGAATCCGACTCCATGCTGCTGGATCAGTAAACTGGAGTCCGGTTTGTTCCTGCAGTACGTCACGTACATGTGGAACTTATCAGCCTGCACAGAAACAAACAGAGACGCTTTAATGCTTCGTTATGTCAGCTAAATGTAGCATCAACGGGCGATAATCCTCTGTGTTTACCCAGGTAACGAAGCAGTGCCCCACGTCTTCTGGAAGCTGCTCGTAGTTCTCCAGTTCCTTCAGGAAAATACTGAGGAGCACAAAGGTTAGCGCTGCTAAGCTAAACGGTTCTGTTTGTTTCACCCTGATGTATAGCAACTGTTTCTGTTCGCCTACCTGTTGTGGAACTCGTAGATGTCCTGGATGTTTCCGAACACGACGTCGTCCTTGTTGGTGAGTCCAGGTGGGATTTCCTCCGAGCCGCTGGTCATCTCCCACAGGTACGTCTGCAACGGCAAAACAGTCACTTCAGCTTCACCTGCCGCTTCTTACAGGGAAATCAACACTTCCTGCACAACTTTCACTTCAAACATTTACAGAATTTCTGGTTCATTTGGTCAGAGAATGTTTTATCACCAGAATAACTGTGGACATTTAAAGGGACATAGTAGCATTTTATAGCACAACTAAGTACCTTCAGTTGTTATAAAATTGCTACAAATATCAAATACCACTTAAAAGAAGTGTTACTTCCTAATTTATCACGTTGTGGGTCCTCTATTAACCCTTTAATGTTTTTACCAGCGTTTCTCTGAGCAGTGGCTCCTATAATGAGGTCACCAGTTCCACCAGCTGTTTGCTAATTGCTGCTGGCTAGTCTGAAGGAGGCGAGAAGGGGAGGAGCTGCACCTTGAAGGCGGGGCTAAGACAATCAGGTGTTTTAACAACTGAATGGTTGCCATGGAGATTAAAGGATTTCTCAAACCTTTCAGACTTATAGTTTTAGTAACTTAATTCTGATGTAATGACAGTAAAAACACAAAATCATTAAGTTCAGATGTTTAATTAAAAGTGTGTGTGTTTTTCTACACACACAGCTAATCCTCCATGTTTTACCTCGATGCACTCCTGCAGGTCTCTGACGTAAACTCTCTCAGTTTGGAGGAGCTCGGCCATGATGTACCTGCCCACACACACACACAGACACACAGACACACACACACAGATTTATTAGAGCAGAACGTCGCTCCTGGCGTGCCGCTCACACACCGTACTCACTCCTTCTTGCGGGCGGAGCGCCTCTTCTCGTCGCTGACCTGGTGACTCGGGTCGGACAGGTTGACCTCAGGGTCCGAGTCCGACAGGCTGTTGGGGATGAGCTCCAGCTCCAGGTCCTTGTTGTCCTAAACGAGCGCCACTGTTAGCCTTCAGATTACGGTTAGCATCTGCAGCAGTGGAGGGTTTTAATCACCTGAGAGCTGCTGCCCAGCGCGGCCTCCAGCAGGTGGCGGTACTGACCCATCCTGACCGTGAAGTCGCGGTAACGCTTGTCCACCGCCGAAACGCAGCGGCGCAGCTCGGCGCGGTGGGCGTGGCCTTTAGCCAGCATGCTCTCAGCCAGCTGGATCAGCAGGTGAACCTTCTCCTGGGTGTGCTGCGAGAAATTTACTCATTCATCGTTTGTTTTCACAGTTTCATCTTATCAGATAAAACCATCCAAAAAGGACAGAAATATTTCAGTTTTACTGTTCGCTTTGAGCTTCACCTGGTCTGGATGCAAAGGTGCTTCATGTTGGATGCTAAAATAACAGCTAATAGTAAATTAGCTGTGGTGTATATACACCTGATCTTCAGATCAGATTTATGTGTTTTTATGTTTTTTTTTTCTCATTTAGAAAAAAGGAACATTTCTGACAAAATAACTCCAAAATTTTGAGATCAATCTGAGAAATTTTCAGAATTTGAAAAGACAAGACAAAACTCAGAAATTAAAAGATTCTTAGAGGTTTTCTAGAAAAACAAGGACATTTATAAGTTTGGAAAGTTAAAAATTTCAAGAAAGAAGTCAGAATCTAATCTTGGAATAATAACAAAAATGTTCTAGAAAAAAATTGGAATTTTCTGAGCTCATTAAGTTGAAAATTTGTAAGAAAAAAATGCAGAATTTCTTAGTTTTTTTTTTTTTTTTAGAAAATTTCTGGGATCAATCTCTAAATTTTTGTTTTTTGGTATAAATTTTTCTCTTTTTTATTTTAAAACAAGTCAGTATGCTGTAGTTTAAGTTGAAACTGGTTTCTGGAACAACCTTTGCAGAAATGCAGAACTCTCTGTGCTGGTTCAGCAACTCCTGTGTTTCGGCAGCCGTTGCCCCCGGCGACGTGTGCGTGGCCAGGTAATGGTCACCTGACTGCTGCAGCCATTCAAGGGCCTGGAAGTGAACAGATTGAAATTTAGAGATTTACAGAAAGTTAGAGCTGTCTTTGTTTGTGGGGTTTATGCTTTTCTGTTTTTGATCATTATTCTAGCTTTTTAATACAACATCAAAAATATTGTAATGATTTCTAAACAAGATATTTACACAAACTGAGGAAAAGCAGCAGCTGACATTATTTCAGAGGGTCGTTTTGTTTCTGTGTTTGACCTCTGGAGTTTCTCGGTTTACCTGCTGGGCGTGGTTCTGGAACATCAGGTACTGCTGGCACTGGTCCAGTCTGCGTTTCTTCAGCGTCCAGAAATGAAGTACTCTGTTTTCTCTCTGGAGCAACTCGCTGAGGATTCCTGAGCACAAAGAAGCATCTCTGTCAGCTCAAATCCTCCAAAATCCCTAAATATAGAGTCCAATTATCTGTGGCGTCCCTCTGGGCTCTGTCCTGGTTACACTCTTTATTTTGACAATATGTGGATTGTTTTTGTTTCTGTGAACCTTTGACTTGCTGCTCCGGCACTCTGGAGTGCCCAGTGACCTCGGTGACCCCCGTCACCGCGGAGACCGTGACGTTGTGGCCGGAGATGTTGGCCATGGTGACGCTGTTTCGATGGATGTACTTGAGGAAGACCTCGGCGTTGCGTCTGGCCAGCGTACACGCCTGTCGCAGAAGAAACAGATCTGGTACAGGTTGTTTCCAGAAAACATGAAACCAGGAGGAACTCCTCAGTATAACACAGAAATGAAGTTAATCCACGGGGTAAATGTTGCTTTTTAAATCTATTTTTGATCTTTTCTAAAGGGAACTGAAGGTATTTTTTGTGGCGGTACCTTCAGGAAGGCCTCCTTCTGCTCCATGTGTTTGCTGATGAGCGGCAGCAGCTGCTCTGGCTGCCGCTCTCCTCCTGCGCACCAGTCCTCCTCCCTGCGGTACTCCTGCTCCAGACTCTCCAGGACGCCACACACCTGGTCAATCGGTACAGTGATGAACATGAAGCTCCCCCAGTGGTTAAACGTGGAACCGCAGTGGCGTTTACCTGCTGGGACGTCCGGTAGAAAGCGGCGGACGCGTTGACCAGCTTCAGTCTGTCTTCGATCCTCAGCATCAGCGTCTGCCAGTGCAGCGCCACCGTCTGGGCGCAGGCCCTCACTGCATCCGGGTCGTAATGGCCTGACCTGAGCAGAAGCAGAGACTTCCTGGTGAGCGGATCGGTCCAGCGTTGATGGAGGAAGTTCTGCGTCTTACCTGACGAGCAGCTCGGCTCGCTGCTGCAGAGCCAGCGCCACCTGGTGGGTTCTCTGCAGGGAGTCTGCATGCAGCAGAGCCTGCAACACAACGTGAGTCCAGTTTCCTTAACGTGCTTTTTGATTTCCATTCGTTTAGAAAAACAATCTGGAAAACTCAATTTTCTGCTTGGTTTTTATATAAAATGTAAAGGGTGCTGTTACAATAAATTGTTCCAGCAATTATTTTGATAAACAATAATATCGTTTTGACATCATGTTCAAATATTATAATGATGGCATAATAGAAACCAACAAACTCTAATTTTGTATAAAACTCTTACAGCTTTAACACTGGAGCAGGAAAATATTTTAAATCATCCAAAATAAAACAGCCAAAATCAATCAATAAAAAAACACATGAATTGTGATGTTTCTGTCGTCTGAATGGGAATTTAAATTGATCATGGTGTTAATTGATTGTTTATTGTGACAGACTTAAGCATTAAATGTTTTATTTCTGTGTCTGCAGTAACCTCGATGGTCTGTTGGAGGCGCTCATGCTCCCGCTGCAGCTGCTCGGCTTCAGACAGACAGCTGGAGTTCAGCATGCAGGAGGACAGCTTCATCTCGCCCTCAGAGATCCAGCCCAGCACCTGAGAGAGGCACACACACACACACACACATACACACACACACACACACACACACACACACACGTAGGTATGCAGTAGGAAGTCTGAGTGTGTGTGCGCAGAGGGCTGAGTGTGTGTTACCTGTTTGACCTGGCTCTGCAGGTGTCTGAGCTGCAGGTTCTGCTCCAGGTATGTGTGTGTGTGGTCTGCGATCTGCTGCAGTTCCTTCTGTTTGTCCTGCAGGAGGCGCTGCAGCTCCTCCACCTGCGCCGTCAGGCCTCCCTCCGCCTCCGACAGCTCCATACCTGCAACATGCTCCACCTTAGAAACCACACACACCAGCTGCCTCATTGTGCATGCACGCACTGATGTGTGTGTCTCCATGGCGAATTCAATACGCCGGTTTCCATGGGGATCAGCTGTGTGCTTCAGAGAGCAGTTTCTATAGCAACCCATCCCCTTTTTCCCCCTCTCCACCTCTGACATCAGTGTGATGCTGGGCTGTTCGCCGCTGGGGAAAATCTGCTGACTGATTCTTGTGGCTCTCTAGGATTTTATTCTGTTCAGATTGAACCACTAATAATAGAAAGGCTTTGGATTCAACATGGCCGACATTCTGTTGTACCTTTTTGTCTCGCATCACCGGACTGTTGGACATTAGATGCTCCAAGAAGTGTCAGCGTTTTCTGAAATCAGGGGATCTGAACCTGCTTATGGATCTCCAACATGGATCATTTCATTCCCTCACCGGGCGCCGTCATTAAACGTCCTACAACACTAAAGCACCGATAGAGCTAAAAACATTTGATTCCAAATCCAGAATCACTCAGGATGTTTAACGCCTCACAGTTCAGTAGATTCGGTTCGACGGCGAAACAGAATTGCAACATTTGTTCTCTCGTTCCAAACATGGTTCTGGGACTCGTATTAAAACAAGACAGCTTAGGAATCCCTAAATCTCTGTTTTCATGAGGACTTGGGGTGAAAACCGTTTTCCTAAAACATGTTCCTGTAACGGGAGTCTATCACCACCCCTGACTGTTCAAGTGATCAACTGATCGATCGACCTGTTTATCTGAACCCTGTCTTTTCTTATGGTGTACCTCAGGGGTCTCAAACTCCAGGCCTCGAGGGCTACTGACCTGCAGTTTTTCGATGTGGCACAGGGACAAAACACTGGAATGAAATGGCTTAATTACCTCCTCCTTGTGTAGGTAAGTT